CATTGTTTACAAACATTGGAGTAAAACAGTCTTATTTTGGGTTCTGATGTGGTACAACAGTTAAACTAAGCTCATGAGGCATTTATAAGTTATATTCTTCAAGAATCAATGGGTATATATAATTAATTCATGAGTCCAATGAATGGATGAAGCAACTAAGGATTTTAGCTTTAAACTCAACACAGATGGACAAACAATATAATTCAGACAGCTATGGAATTAGGCAGGGGGAACAGCTGCTGCGAAATAGATTACAAATTGATTTTACTCAAACAACCCTTTTCAAACTAGTGGGAACAATGCCTTCGAGAGCTCTCGTCCCATGCATTACTAATGATACTATACCTCGTGGCATAAGCACAGTCTTCTTTTCCTGAACCACTATTCTATTCATGCAGTATGATTGTGTCGCACAAGACAACCCTCCAATCTGTCACAGGTATTGCTTTGCTCCTCTTTGCTCCCTGTTCTCATCCAATTTGCCATTCATTTCCTCTTTGTAGAGAGAAGGGCCTTGGTGCATGAGGGCTGTGTGAACTAGAGTGCTTGCATGGAGAGAAGAGAGAAGGCTGCTGTATTCTGGGGAGGAGTCTGGGGAGGAGTCTGGGGAGGAGGCATGGCTGAAGGCAGGCAGGCAGGCTGGGTGGGTGTGAATGAGGATGGGAAGGGTTGATGAGATGTCAGAGAGGAAGACATACACTATATACAAAAGTATGGCCTTACTGAAGAGCTCAGTGACTTTCAACGTGGCACCGTCATAGGATGCCACCTTTCCAACAAGTCATTTCGTCAAATTTCTACCCTGCTAGAGCAGCCCCGGTCAGCTGTAAGTGCTGTTATTGTGAAGTGGAAATGTATAGGAGCAACAGCGGCTCACCCGCGAAGCGGGACCGGCGAGTGCTGTAGCGAGTAAAAATCATCTGTCCTTGGTTGCAACACTCACTACCGAGTTCCAAACTGCCTCTGGAAGCAACGTCAGCACAATAACTGTTAGTTGGGAGCTTCATGAGATGGGTTTCCATGGCCGAGCAGCCGCACACAAGCCTAAGATCACCATGCGCAAGGCCAAGCGTCGGCTGGAGTGGTATAAAGCTTGGCACCATTGGACTCAGTGGAAACGCGTTCTCTGGAGTGATGAATCACGCTTCACCATCTGGCAGTCTGACAGATTAATCTGGGTTTGGCAGATGCCAGGAGAACGCTACCTGCCCAAATGCATAGTGCCAATGGTAAAGATTGGTGGCGGAGGAATAATGGTCTGGGGCTGGTTTTCAAGGCACGGGCTAGGCCCTTTAGTTCCAGTGAAGGGAAATCTTAACGCTACAGCATACAATGGCATTCTAGACAATTATGTGCTTCCAACTTTGTGGCAACAGTTTGGGGAAGGCCCTTTCCTGTTTCAGCATGACAATGTCCCCGTGCACAAAGTGAGATCCATACAGAAATGGTTTGTCGAGATCGGTGTGGAAGAAATTGACTGGCCTGCACAGAGCCCTGACCTCAACCTCATCGAACACCTTTGGAATGAATTGGAACGCCAACTGCTAGCCAGGCCTAATCGCCCAACATCAGTGCCCGACCTCACCAATGCTCTTGTGGTTGAATGGAAGCAAGTCCCCGCAGCAATGTTCCAACATCTAGTGGAAAGCCTTCCCAGAAGAGTGGAGGCTGTTATAGCAGCAAAGGGGGGACCAACTTCGTATTAATGCCCATGATTTTGGAATGAGATGTTCGACGATCAGGTGTCCACATACATTTGGTCATGTAGTGTAGAGCCAGGGAATCATCAGCACTGGAGAGTTACACACACACGCATACACACACGCAGTCCCTGGCTTGGCCTCCTGGGTCTCCTTATTCATTTAATTAATCCATGAAGATGCCCATGTACCTTCCAGTGTCCCTCATTACGCCATGATTAAAATGGAGAAACAAATGAATCCTATTCTTATTGACTACCACTACAGAATAGGCTATTAAATACTCAAAGGTTGGCTGATATAGAATATTTAGTGGGGTAGATTCACAAAAGTTCTAAAAGATTCTAAAAGTGGAGATAATTCTCCTGTAGGTCAGTGTTGCCTCATTCCTAATGGATTAATGATTAGACTATGAAACCCATGTTGCAACACTTCCTTGATAGCAGCCATAGTGTCATCTCAGTGTAGTGACATGGTGGGAATAAGTGATAGAGAGGAGGGGACGGTGGAGTGGAGGCATCCTATCCAGAGAGCCAGTAGAGACTAGTGACAGCCAGCCAGCATCGCCCATGGCGAAACGAATCTCATTTGCAGCATTACCAGGCTCTTTGGTGTGTGAGAGGGCTGAAGAAAAGGCCTGCTTGTGACTGTGACAGTGAGGCTTCCCTCCCTCGCTGCTCTCTGGCTATAGAGATGTAAAGATCACTGTTATGGGGTGGAGTAGTCTGGGAGATTCGTTACTGTTCCGCTGATCTCATTATCAAAATGAAACTGCTTAATCTGAAATGGAACAATAGGAAAGAAACAAAATCCCATTCACATATTATGCTCGGGAAAGAGTTTATACAGAATTACTCAAATGTAATCTATATGATCTATATGTTTAGAGGATTAACAACAATCTAGATTCCAATCTACACCATGTGAAACTTTAGAATAATTTACAATCATAAAACAGGTTGTTTGGATCCTGGATGCTGATTGGTTGATAACAGGGAGTAATAGCACCACAATCCTTGCATTCTCCAGGTAATGCCTGTTAACAGTTCCATTAGCTGTATCAATGTGCATCCACTGTCCCACAGCCCAGCCAGTTAATTAATAAACTGAGGGGTAGTACAGAGAAATTGTGAAAGTGATATACACTGCTCAAAAAAATAAAGGGAACACTTAAACAACACAATGTAACTCCAAGTCAATCACACTTCTGTGAAATCAAACTGTCCACTTAGGAAGCAACACTGATTGACAATACATTTCACATGCTGTTGTGCAAATGGAATAGACAACAGGTGGAAATTATAGGCAATTAGCAAGACACCCCCAATAAAGAAGTGGTTCTGCAGGTGGTGACCACAGACCACTTCTCAGTTCCTATGCTTCCTGGCTGATGTTTTGGTCACTTTTGAATGCTGGTGGTGCTTTCACTCTAGTGGTAGCATGAGACGGAGTCTACAACCCACACAAGTGGCTCAGGTAGTGCAGCTCATCCAGGATGGCACATCAATGCGAGCTGTGGCAAGAAGGTTTGCTGTGTCTGTCAGCGTAGTGTCCAGAGCATGGAGGCGCTACCAGGAGACAGGCCAGTACATCAGGAGACGTGGAGGAGGCCGTAGGAGGGCAACAACCCAGGAGGAGCACTGCCAGAGCCCTGCAAACCCAGGAGGAGCACTGCCAGAGCCCTGCAAAATGACCTCCAGCAGGCCACAAATGTGCATGTGTTTGCTCAAACGGTCAGAAACAGACTCCATGAGGGTGGTATGAGGGCCCGACGTCCACAGGTGGGGTGTTGTGCTTACAGCCCAACACCGTGCAGGACGTTTGGCATTTGCCAGAGAACACCAAGATTGGCAAATTCGCCACTGGCGCCCTGTGCTCTTCACAGATGAAAGCAGGTTCACACTGAGCACATGTGACAGACGTGACACAGTCTGGAGATGCCGTGGAGAACGTTCTGCTGCCTGCAACATCCTCCAGCATGACCGGTTTGGCGGTGGGTCAGTCATGGTGTGGGGTGGCATTTCTTTGGGGGGCCGCACAGCCCTCCATGTGCTCGCCAGAGGTAGCCTGACTGCCATTAGGTACCGAGATGAGATCCTCAGTCCCCTTGTGAGACCATATGCTGGTGCGGTTGGCCCTGGGTTCCTCCTAATGCAAGACAATGCTAGACCTCATGTGGCTGGAGTGTGTCAGCAGTTCCTGCAAGAGGAAGGCATTGATGCTATGGACTGGCCCGCCCGTTCCCCAGACCTGAATCCAATTGAGCACATCTGGGACATCATATCTCGCTCCATCCACCAACGCCACGTTGCACCACAGACTGTCCAGGAGTTGGCGGATGCTTTAGTCCAGGTCTGGGAGGAGATCCCTCAGGAGACCATCCGCCACCTCATCAGGAGCATGCCCAGGCGTTGTAGGGAGGTCATATAGGCACGTGGAGGCCACACACACTACTGAGCCTCATTTTGACTTGTTTTAAGGACATTACATCAAAGTTGGATCAGCCTGTAGTGTGGTTTTCCACTTTAATTTTGAGGGTGATCCAAATCCAGACCTCCATGGGTTGATAAATTTGATTTCCATTGATAATTTTTGTGTGATTTTGTTGTCAGCACATTCAACTATGTAAAGAAAAAAGTATTTAATAAGATTATTTCATTCATTCAGATCTAGGATGTGTTGTTTAAGTGTTCCCTTAATTTTTTTGAGCAGTGTATATATAATTACACAATTATAAGGCTCATCAGGTATGGGGTGCCTTATTATTGTTGTCATTGCTGTGTTTTAGTGTTAACTGAATGGTCTGAGAGGTTATTAAATCATACATCTAGGCTATGACCTAAAGCAGCTTATTGTTAGTAAATACATGTTTAAGTAGCAATAGGAATTCTCTAAGGAACATATTGAAATTGATAATGTTAAGGAATTATTTTATCATGCCAGTGAACAAGTGAACCCCCTGAGACATGTTCATGCAATTTGAAACACTTGAGTTGTTTCAGTATTGAGTTCATTAGAACTGCAAAAATGGTCTCATTATAAGCCTTTTGTGTGGTAACAAATTAGATTGAAAACTAAAGTGCAGGATAACTCTTTTATTTTCTTCTGTTCTAAGAGAGAAGAGCAGGCAGATATCAGGGCTGTCGCACAGACCCAATAGATAGATACAGTAGATAGGCTACATGCAGTAGATCCCAATAGTATACAGTATGTCTGAGTTCTAGTGTCAGCTCCCAGTCAAATCTATTACAAATGTATGAAACATTCCCATGTGTTCTGAGTAAATCAACAGAGTATTGATTTTGTTATCAATCATAAGAAATATGGATGGCATAACTGAATAAACTTCCTCTTTCAGGTTCAGCATGAGGCCTTGTGAAGAACTGAACAAGCAAAGGTAGTTATTCAAAAACAATCATTATTGTTCCAGTCCAGGTATTGTTCAAAAGATTACTTGAACAACAACCTCCTCAGATTACCAGAACAGGAACAAGAAACAGCTACAGCATAGCACCTGGAATACCAGAACACATACGGAGCATAGCACCAGACCAAGGTGCCCAGAATTATGCCAATCTAGTCAGAATCACTTGAAGGATCTTACTGCAACAGTGCTGACTTGGCTGTAACGTTTGAGCGATAGCATGGCTGACCCTTACCAGAACAATGTGTACCACCAAGGAGGAGGTGACCCCTATGGCACCTATGGAGAGGGAGGAGGCCAGGAGGGCTACGGTTACCAGGGCGAGTCCTACCCTCAGGAGGAGGATGCAGCCAGCGATGCCACGGAGGGCCATGATGATGAGGACCAGATGTACGAGGGGGAGTACCAGGGGATCCCCCACCCTGACGAGGTGAAGGCGGCCCAGAGGGCAGCGAGGGCCAAGGCCAGGCAGGCTCAGGCAGGGGCCACAGAGCTGGATGAGCTGGCTGAGCAGTATGAGGACATCATGGAGGACTGTGGACATGGACGGTTCCAGTGGACCCTGTTTATAGTGCTGGGCCTGGCCCTCATGGCTGACGGGGTGGAGTGCTTTGTGGTGGGGTTCGTGCTGCCCAGCGCTGAGAAGGACATGTGCTTATCCAATGGAGAGAAAGGCATGCTAGGTGAGTCATGGCTAAATGCCAATCCTTGTTGGAAGACATACAACCCATATTAACACTTGTCTTGTACAATGTCTGGGGCAATTGATTCTGGAAAAAAGGCATAAGAGGCTGAATTAAGAGTCTGAATTGTAATGGGAAAATAATAATGTTATATCTTCAAAAAATCTTAAAGTTCTGATACCAAATGAAATAATCGATCAGAGGACATTCTGTGGATATCAGTGCAGACTGTGTAAAATCAAAGCTAAGTTGTGGATTGTATTGGGGACAGTTCCAGCCAATAGCAGCCTTGCTGTCAATATTAGCCGGCAGGTACTTAAGGGCTCCGTAAATTAGAAATGTTCTCAAATACGCTAATGGCACAGTTGATTTCAAGATGAATCTGGATGCTTTTCATGCTCTACTTTATTTCAATATATTCCTGCTTAGTGAAGCAGGGGGGAAATTGATTATCCGTTTCTCCACAGCAAATAACATGAGTTTTGGCATCCGGAGCAATCTGCAGCATGCCACCAATCACACTGATTGAGACCATGCAGTATTTTGTAGGCCCATGTCTAGTGCAGTGGTGGATTTGAAATTCAGAGACAGACACCACAAGATAAGTCCTTCACTTTGAAACCTGCGGAAGCTGTCCAAGGAGACAAGTATCTGGGATGAGAGGGCAGATTTTCTCCCTCTCCCCAGCCTTCCCAGCCTCGGCGGCCCAGCAGCCCAGCAGGCTGTACTGGTTGGTAGTACTGAGTCAGCAGGTGGCTGAGGAGAGGAGATCAATAGCCACTCTACTGACCTTGTGTCTTGGATACATACTGTTCGCCTGCTGCTTCACTTCCCTTTGGCTAACTACACTGTGATAAACACAATCACGAGCAACTTTTATTCACTACACTGTATATTCTGTAGCCCTCAGATCTCAGACTGACTCACATGCACAAAGTAATTGCCCTTCTGGAATAAATAATGTTTTTTTAATTGAATGGAATTGAATTGAATGGGTAGGGTGGAGTCATGGAACATTTAGGTACTCAGAGAATACAGGATATGCTGGATCATACACTGAACAAAAATATGAACTCAACATGTAAAGTGTTGGTCCCATGTTTCATGAGCTGAAATAAAAGATCCAAGAAATGTTCCATACTCACAAAAAGCTAATTTCTATCACATTTTGTGCACAAATTTGTTTACATCCCTGTTAGTGAGCATTTCTCTTTTGCCAAGATAATCCATCCAACTGACAGGTGTGGCATATCAAGAAGATGATTAAACAGCATGATCATTACACAGGTGCACCTTGTGCTGGGAACAATAAAAGACCACTCTAGAATGTGCAGTTTTGTCACACAACATAATGCCACAGATGTCTCAAGTTTTGAGGGAGCGTGCAATTGGCATGCTCACTGCAGGAATGTCCACCAGAGCTGTTGCCAGATAATTTAATGCTAATCTCTCTACCATAAGCCTCCTCCAACGTCGTTTTAGAGAATTTGGCAGTACATCCAACCGGTCTCCATGTGTATGGAGTGTGGGTGAGCGGTTTGCTGATGTCAATGTTATGAACAGAGTGCCCCATGGTGGCGGTGGGGTTATGATATGGGCAGGCATTGCTACGGACAACGAACAAAATTGCATTTTATCGATGGCAGTTTGAATGCAGAGATACCATGACGAGATCCTGAGGCCCATTGTCGTGCCATTCATCCGCCGCCATCACCTCATGTTTCAGCATGATAATGCACGTCCCCATGTCGCAGGGATCTGTACACAATTCCTGGGAGCTGAAAATGTCCCAGTTCTTCCATGGCCTGCATACTCACCGTGTGCGACAGCGTGTTCCAGTTCCCACCAATATCCAGCAACTTTATACAGCCATTGAAGAGGATTGGGACAACATTCCACAGGCCACAATCAACAGCCTGATCAACTCTATGTGAAGGAGATGTGTCGCGCAGCATGAGGCAAATGGTGGTAACACCAGATACTGACTGGTTTTCTGATCCACACCCCTACCTTTTTTTTAAGGTATCTGTGACCAACAGATGCATATCTCTATTCCCAGTCATGTGAAATCCATAGAATAGGGCCAAATGTATTTATTTCAATTGACTGATTTCCTTATATGAACTGTAACTCAGTAAAACCTTAGAAATTTTTGCATGTTGCGTTTATATTTTTTTCAGTATATTTATCTCGTGTAACATCTCCTTTTAAAAGGAACAAGTTAGCAGCTTTTCTGTTTTTTCTGAGTCAGGCAGCCTATTAGTTATTCACTATCTCATCTTGCTCTTTACAGTAATTGAATCTACATTTTACCAATGCCCCTGAAAATGTTTCAGTCCAAATGTACAGAATAAACTCCAGTTTATCTCAAGGGTTTAGATTTTGACTTCCTAACCATAATCAATCAGTTTCAATGGGACTACTGAAATATGAGATGCCTCTAATTCACACTTTCACTGTGATCACCACTGCATACATTCTGACTCAATGGATGTAAGCTGTCCAATCAGAAGGCAGAGTGGCAGTAGTGTCACTGTTCTACAGGGAGAGTAGGGTGGGGGATTGGTCCTCATCTCCATATGTTTATCCGGTGACGGCAGGCCAGAGTCTTCGCTCTCACACCAGTCATCACCCACAGCCCCCATGGCAGTACCATCTGCAGTGACATCGTGCCACCATGCCAGGCGCTGGCACTTGGCACAGGCTGCTGGTGGTAAAATGTGTTATTTTGGGGAGATTCTTCCCTAGTGATAGGGTTGGATTGATGGGCTACAGGTAAGCTGAGTAATGCTTTAGATGTACATATACAGTGCATAGAAAAGTGACACACATAAGTGCTCTCATCTGCAATAGACAAGCAGGCCGCTGATGCACAGTACTAGAATGGCCACATAACTTATATCTACTTATCTGGGGCTTAAATTAATAGGCTTTATCACCCAAGGTTAGAAAAGACTGTACTTTCTGAGGCAGAAACACAGCCACCTTCATGATTCTATCGAATGTCAGCATTTAGAGTACTTAAACAAAAATCACTTCTTTTTTTTCATACTTTATGCAAGCATTCATTATATGCTAAAAATAGGTGTTCCAGTTCAGCTTTGAGAGATGGACAAAGGCACACGTTAAATACTGTTATGTTTCTTTCGAGACACCCTGCTGACAGGTAAAAGCACTAAAAGCGGTATGACATCCAAATAGGATACCTGTTGTTAAGACTTCACAAAAGACCATTCAAGGCTATTCAATTTGACCAAAAATACATTTTGTCTGTCGTTACCTTAGAAACACGATTTTACCTCTCTGACCTAGCCTTGAGAATGAGTCAGAATGCAGAGTACAAATAGATATATACACATGCACAACTATTCCAAAAATGTTTATATTAGTGTTTTTGGTATTATCAATTAAAATATATTGTATTACACAGAGATTTCTCAATACTGCCCATAGGATATTCCCCTCCAGTGCCTGTCTCTCAGTAGTGATGTACAAGCCTGTCCCCTGGTGGACAACATCAAAAGTGGCGCCCATGTCCAGATATCCCGTTTCAGCATTGCTGCTGAGGCTGTGGTAGTAGTTGAGCATTCAAAAACAACTCTGTATATTGTATGTCATCAAAAGTGTTTCCCTAAAATACAGTTCTGTGATCCATAAAAGCACACCAGAATGTATGGTCACCTCAAGTATGTTGAGTGCAATCTACCACTTTATTCACTGAGTTCAAATCACTAGATACATGTCTGCTAGTGAACTGTACCTGTGCTGGCTGCTGACTGTGTCTTGCCTCTCTCTCTCCTGCAGGTTTGATAGTGTTCCTGGGAATGATGGTTGGGGCGTTCATCTGGGGAGGCATGGCAGACAAACTGGGCCGCCGGAGGTGTCTGATCTGGGCACTCACCATCAACTGTGTCTTCGCCTTCCTCTCCTCCTTCGCCCAGGGATACGGCTTCTTTCTCTTCTTTAGGCTCATCTCCGGCATCGGGTAAAAAAGACCCCCGTCTATAGAGAGAGAGGAAACAAGGGATGAGTTTCTAATTGAAGGAATTAGGGTTGTGACTGGGATGCTATAGTACATGTGAACATGATCCTCTCTACCTGATAAAATATATGTTGTACAATGTAACGGTAACAAAGCCACAGCCTCTGAAGAAGCTACATGGATGAAGCAGTAGTTACTGTAGGACTTGTGCTAGATTACACTTCCTCCCAGGTCAGCACATTCAGAGCGCCTCTCCTCCTCCACCTACAACAATGCAGCATTGTGCTGTCTCAGAATAGTGTTGTTCCACAGGGATGTAAGCAAGCTACGCATACTGACTCTAGAATCAGGTCAAAGCGTATGCAAAAACATTGTGTTGTGTGTAAAGAAAACCTCAGCTGGAGGAGCATGGTGTATTAGGCTGTTGTGTATCCATGCATGTTTGGATATTAGTGGAATCTCAAACTACTGACCTCAAACTACTGACCTTTGTGAAAATTACCTGCTTACAAAAATACTATTCTCCTGCATTTATTTCAAAGACTATATGAAGCTCTGAAAGGAGATCAGTACCAGACCAGTAACTTGCTCCGTGATCTGTGTTTAGATACATTTCAGTGTTGGACTCTTTAAAAAAACGAAAACATAATGTCATAATACTTGTGAAATCAGGTCTCCCTCGAAAAATCTGTTCTTCCTCGAAAAATAGATGATTCACCTAGGGACTTCCTGGATACATAAAGGCAAATCTCTTGTGTAATCTACAATCTAAATCTCTCAGTGAGTTACTAATCCTCTGTATCTCCCTTCAGTATCGGAGGTTCTGTCCCCATTGTCTACTCCTACTTCTCAGAGTTCCTTCAGATGGACAAGAGGGGGGAACACCTGAGCTGGCTGTGTATGTTCTGGATGGTGGGAGGCATCTATGCCTCCTTCACTGCCTGGGGCATCATCCCTCACTATGGTACAGTACAATACTGCACACTAAACACTTAACAGACAACCCTTAGGGGCCATGACCTGGGATTAAAATCATCCTCCTTGCTGACAAAAGCAAGTTCACCCAAGTACAGCTACAGCAGTCCCTGCATTGGGTGTTATGGAAACGTAACACGACTAAGCCATAGTAGGTTGGTGGCACCTTAATTGGGGAGGACGGCCTCGTGGTAATGGCTGGAGCGGAATGAGTGGAATGATATCAAATACATCAAACACATGGTTTCCATGGTTTCCATGTGTTTGATGCCGTTCCAGTCACTATGTTCTAGCCATTATTATGAGCCGTCCTCCCTTCAGCAGCCTCCACTGGACTAAGCATATGTGTTGGGTTAATTAACTGGCTGATAGATTTGTAATCATAATATTAGTCTGTAAACGCACCTATAGACCCAGGGAGTGATTTGGGTTATGTTCCAGGTTCTAGAGTAGTCACAGATAATGGATAATGATTGTGTCAAATCAAATCAAATCAAATTGTATTGGTCACATACACGTGTTTAGCAGATGTTATTGCGGGTGTAGCGAAATGCTTGTGTTTCTAGCTCTGACAGTGCAGTAATATCTAACAAGTAATATCTAACACAAATCTAAGTAAAGCAAATGAATTAAGAATATATCAATAAATATATGGACGAGCAATGTCAGAGCGGCATAGACTAAGATACAGTAGAATAGTATAGAATACAGTATATACATATGAGATGAGTAATGCAAGATATGTAAACATTATTAAAGTGACTAGTGTTCCATTTATTAGAGTTCCAATCTATGTATACAATTGTGGCTGTGTTATGTTCCAGGCTGGGGCTTCAGCATGGGGACAGAGTTCCAGTTCCACAGCTGGAGGGTGTTTGTGCTGGTCTGTGCCCTGCCTGCCATCACCTCCCTGGTGGGGCTCATGTTCATGCCTGAGAGCCCCAGGTTCCTCCTGGAGGTAAAATCAATTTTCTTAAGATTAAGATGAACAGTACAGGAATGTAATACTCGGGGCCTTTAACATATTGTGTTGATCAAACAACATTTTCATACAAAACCCAAAACCGATTTTGCAGATGTATTTGGTTTAAAAACACACACAAAAAACTGTGTGGACTATAGTGAGGTTTTGACTTACAGTATGTGGCTGTCTTTATCAGAATGCCAAACACGACGAGGCCTGGATGATCCTGAAAAATGTCCATGACACCAACTGGAGGGCAAAGGGCCAGCCTGAGAAGGTCTTCCAGGTGTGTGGAAACAACATCACAGATTAACACTAAATAACATGTGCTTGAAGGGCTCCTTTGCCATTTTCAGAATCACTGAATATATTGAAACAAAGTGAGCATCATTTCATTCCCCTCAGGTGACCCACATCAAGGCTCCTAAGACCCAGGAGGATGAGTTCATTGAGATCCAGAGTGCCACAGGGACAGCTATACAGCGTTGGGCCGTCCGGACCCTCACTCTGTGCAAACTGGTAGGACCAAACATTTTCAGAAAACAAACACATTACTAATGAGACCAACAATAACACTAACAGGCTATTAGTATGTGATGTGTCACTATGCTGTGTTTTCATTGCAGGTGCTGAAGAACATTGCTTCTCTATTGGGACCTGAGCTGAGACTAAGTACACTGTTCATGGCCATCATCTGGTTCACAATGGCCTTCAGGTAAATATATGTACAATATATTTGATGCCAAACAGGCAAGAATGTATACCATGTGCAGCTGATTGTAAATACCTGTAGATACAGTCTCTGTCCCAAATGGCACCATATTCCCCCCATGGGCCCTGGTTAACAGCAGTACACTATAGAGAATAGGGTGCCATTTGGGACACAAAAATACTGAATGTGTATTTTAATGTTGGTTGTCAATGTTCTCTTTACTATGGTCCAAAAACTCTGATATCATCGTATTTCAGTTACTATGGACTGGGTGTGTGGTTCCCTGACATGATCAAATACCTGCAGCAAGAGGAGTATGAGTCCAAAGTCAAGGTGTTCCACAGAGAGAGAGTAGAACGCTTCCACTTCAACTTCTCCCTGGAGAATCAGATCCACAGAGAGGGAGAATACATCAATGACAAGTATGTCATCTCCATGCTCCACCTTCTGGCCCTTCTGAGTACTACACCACAGGAACACCTAGTAATACTGTATTACAACAGTCATTTATCACTGTCATGTCTCTTGATAATATCACAATGTAACATATCATTCTATGTAAGTATGGCACATATTATTTCTTTCAAAATGATACAGACAATATTGAATAGGAATAGTGCTGTCTGTCATTCTAGCATGTAATGTACCACTTCATCAAAAACTCAGGAATCATGCTTTTGTGTTCCATCCCTTTAGGTTTATCAACATACAGATGAAGTCTGTTAAGTTTGAGGATTCACTGTTTGAAGATTGTTACTTTGAGGACATAAAGTCCACTGAAACAATCTTTGAGAACTGCACCATCAGATCCACCGTCTTCTATAACACAGGTGGGAACCATTAAACAGAGATTGAACTTTTTCAAAAATCAAGTCCTGCGCAATATGAATGAAGAAACATAATGACAATACAGTATGTAGTGCATTTCAACATCATCAATTACCATTGCTATGTTTCACTGAAAACAAACAGTACATATTGACCAGTGGACTGAGAATTGCAAAGCCATGAATGTTTCTCCACGTACACTATTTATGTTATATCGTTGGCATTGTCACGTTTCCTCCAGATCTGTACGAGGAAAGGTTCATAGACTGTAGACTGGAGAACACCACATTCCTCCATAATAAGAAGGGCTGTCACCTGGACATCGACGAGGAGAACGACGTGCTCATCTACCTGGTCAGCTTCCTGGGGTCCCTGGCTGTTCTACCCGGCAACATCATATCAGCTCTGTTCATGGAGAAGATAGGCAGAGTCAAAATCATAGGCGAGTTGGTCTGTACAATGGTAATAGGTTTCTTTGATTTTAACTGTATTGGTTCTTACAATGGACAGGTAGGACAAGTGTGGATTCTGTGTAGAGCAGCAGCTCAGCTATTGTTCTGACATTCTGCTCTTCGATTGTCAGATGAGAAAAGTGCGAGCATAGAGATGTATATGGGTGTGAGCCTTGAAATATGATCAAGGAACATCGAAGTGTGATTTAATCTTACCGCACACCTCACGGCTCCATCTCCCTCTACACATGATGGGCCAGTGCCACTGAGCTCACTGCTTCCTAATGTGAGCCCAATCTGCTCCTCTCTTTGCAGGCCTCTCCATGCTGATCTCAGCTGGGTGCACCTTCTTCCTGTTCCTGAGCTTCAGTCAGGCGGCCATCATAGCCTGGCAGTGTCTGTTCTGTGGGGTCAGCGTGGCAGCGTGGAACGGCATCGAGGTCATCACAGTGGAACTCTACCCAGCCTCCAAAAGGTACAGTACAGCAATCTGGAAATCAGACATTAATTTATTAGATAGACCTATCTAATTTATTATATTGTGCCTATTGGAAATAGATAGTTGATATGATATGATATTGTATTATTTGCTTTATACTGTTAAAAGTATGTCAACCCATTATCATCAGTTACTGAATCAAATGGATGTAAAAAATGTCCCCTGTGGTGTATTTAACCTATGTCCCTAACCTCCTCCCACAGAGCCACAGCGTTCGGGGTGTTGAATGCCCTCTGTAAGCTGGCGGCCATCCTGGGCACCTCCATCTTTGCCTCCTTTGTGGGGGTCACCAAAGTCGTCCCCATTCTCCTCTCCTGCACTGCTCTGGTGTGTGGAGGCCTGGTGGCCCTCAAGCTGCCCGAGACCCGGGAGAAGATCCTCCAGTGAGGAGGTCATACTGGCCAAAGGTCAAAGGTCACAGGAGCAAGGAGCTACCTTTACAGGTAGAGTTTCTCTGAGAGACACACAGGCATTATGCAAGATTGGCTGTAACCAACAGGAGTTGACAAGAGTTTGTTCCACCAACATAGAGATCCTTTAATTACAAGCTAACTAACAGTGTTCTTCATTGTCTGTTCTGTCTCACCAGTTATGAAGTGTTTGGAGTGAAATGCTTTAAAATCAACTCCATATCTAAATTATTATTGGGACCAAATGGGAATTTTTCTCTAATTCAATCGCTTATGTATCGGTCTATAAATCATAATTTGCCCCATTAATGTACGATATTGTCGACCTGAGACGCAAGATAAGAATTGGAAAATATGTAAACCTCTTGATAGAGACTTTGGTAACCAGAAACAGATTTCTGTTCAAGGGAATGTTTCTCCAGTGCCATTTTGAATTCAGATACTGTTGTTGTTTTGTTTTGCTAGAATTATGTTTTTTAAATCTTGGCCCTGCCTCAATTAATCATTCTCAACTCAAACCCTCTACATTCTCTCCAAAATGTAAACTCTATTGACTGTAGTGTAGCATTCCCTCCATGTATTCTCGTCTTGTGTTTCAATGTAGTGGGAGGACAGCAAATATCCTTCACCACATCTATACTGTATTTTTGAATCATTACCTTTAGTTGAGTGTTAGAGGTTATAGTCCATCAACCAGGGGTATATTCAGTAGGTCGCCAACTAGGGAACAACATACAACTGCAATTTACTGCGGTATTCTCCATCAAATTGAGGAGATAACGAATTTGGCCATTCCATTCTAATCTTATTTTCTGACATGCTCTGAAAATGTAATCCTGCTGAATATGCACCTGGAATCAAACCACAATAGATTAGATTTTTGCATTCCAATTTTCCAATTGCAACTTCATTCAGCAAACTGGTTGGTCCTTCAGTGTGTTTGTGTGCTTTCTTGTAAATGTTCTCAGTTTCAGCCTCCATGTTACTGTACTGTTTCATTAATGTCTTGGGCTGTGGTTTATTTGTGTTGTCTATGCGATGACATCCTTAGTTTTTCTGTTGAAGTGGTACCACTTCAGGCGGCAGGTAGCTTAGTGGGTAAGAGCGTTGTGCCAGTAACCGAAAGGTCGCCGAGCCGACTAGGTGAAAAAATCTGTCTATGTGCCCTTAAGCAAGGCACTTAACCCTAATTGCTCCTGTAAGTCGCTCTGGATAAGAGTGTCTGCTAAATGACGTAAATGTAAAATGTACCACATAGGAATACAACTTTTTTTTTATATGTGGGGGAAATGCTCTTATTGCATTGGGGATAGGAGATTCACTGAAGCACACAGTGCTGTTACTGTTAACTGTCTACTGAGTTGCATGTGTGTGTTAGTAATGTTTCTGTGTCTTTTTCATGTGTTGTTCAAAAAGCAAGTAGTCTGAATGATGATTACTGTCTGTGTGTGTCACTGTAATTAACTGACTGGATTGTAGCCTGTACCAGCTTGAATTAACAATCACTTTAGTTAGTTTAAGCATTTCTTAGCTGTTTCTTGTCAAGTATTGAGGAGCCAATCGCATTTCTTTCCAATACAAAACAAGACAATTATTTCTGTCATACTAACAATCGAACAGTTACACAAACTGAGGCTTTGCTGTTGAAACACTATTTTGCATTTTACTATCCTTATTGTATCTATACTATATTCACACAATAACATAACATATTTCAAAATAGAGAAAGTTACAAAGCAAGAATAAAGGTGATGTTGAATTATCCTTTTTCAAAATGTAGATTTGGTTTCCTTTAGTTAGTCTATAGAACATCTGTACCATTATATGTAGGTACGTAGACACAATTATTGCCAATACATTGTGTAATACCTGTTATACCGCTCTTGAAAACATACACTGATTTGTTATCAATTGAGCTGCAGGAAGTGATCAGCCTTAACTGAATGCAAGGATTCTGTCGAGCAGTAAGGTACGTGGTGTTTTCAGTAAAACCTTGTTTCGTTCTCAAGCATCTTTTTGAGCTGCACCACCACTGTTATCAAGGGATTGGCTTATGAATACACTTCTTGGGTGTTTTACTTCTCTGAGTTAGTTTGTCTCTGCGTCATTGTAAAACAGAAAGCCATACTTTGTTCTTTGTTTTTATATTTTTCTCTCAAAATATTGTCTGTCATGAAAAAAAATATTTTGCATACATTTTCTGTTTTGGGATTTTGTGACTGTGAAAAGATGAAACACATCAAATAAATCTATTAGTGTACTGTACTGTGAGCGATGGTTGGTTTGTTCTTCTTGGCATGAATGGTGTAATAGGCCACTCAGTGGTAGACAGACCTGGTTGGTTCAGGTTTCTACAGTGTTATGAAAGGTGTACAACAGGAACATGAGGAACTGCACACCACTCATAACTCATTCATTCTGAATTGGAAACATGCTCTCTTACGCTTGGTTGAGATGTTTTGAGTCAGACATAGAACCCATTCAGGGGTCCCATCATTTCACCTATTTTGAGTGGGGGGATACTTCTCAACACAGAGCATTGGAGAGGGGGGGCGGGGGGGGTCTGAAGTGTAAAATCATATACAGTTTGTGGGTGGTGATGTTTACTCTACCAGAGGTGTGAAACAACTTACTTCACCAGGGACAAAATTAGGACACCAGGTCCAAAAGCAGAGTAAAAATGGGAGCTGTAGATATTTATAGGTAGAGTAGAACAGAATGCTAACAGCGAATAGATCATATTTTTTGGTTTGCATATTGTATGGAGAATTGTAAACAATTATATAGGACATCTGCCGATCCAGTTCTGCTGTTCTGCCTGCAGCTATGGAACTCTGATCTGTTTCACTGGACGTGCTACCTTGGTCCCTCTCTAGGTTTCTTCCTAGGTTCCTGTCTTTCTAGGGAATGTTTCCTAGCCACTGTGCTTCTACATCTGCATTGCTTGCTCTTTAGGGTTTTAGGCTGGGTATCTGTATAGGACTTTGTGACAACTGCTGATGTAAAAACTGCTTTATAAAATGCATTTGATTGATTGACTGACATAATAGAGGTCAACTGCTACAAATATGAATCTGGAGAACATCCATCACAGCTCTTCTCTAAAACCCCAAACTGGGCTTTAATGGTGAAAACTAGACTCACTGCTTTAGACAACTCTGGATGTAGTGAGTGCTGAGTGTGCAACCATGGGAAGGCTCGGGCCATGTCAGGCTGGCTGAAGGTTCTGGGGGCATGGGGAGGGGACAGGACAGGTGCTAGCTCTGGCTCTAGCTGTCACTATGAGGTGCTAATGGCCACTGCAGGCCCACTGGCCTCTCCCCCACAGGCTCACTGGCCTCTCCCCCATAGATGCGGGAAATAGTTTGGGGCTGGGGGTGCTGCGATTTGTTTTGCTCGCGCTGCAGATGGCTATATCAGTCCGCTAGTACAGGACTATTAAAGGCCCAGTTCACTACTTTTGTGAAGAAAAAAAAATGTCAAGAAAAAAACTAATATATACACTACCAGTCAAAAGTTTGGACACACCTATTCATTCAAGGCAAAGGGTGGCTATTTGAAGAATCTCAAATATATAATATATTTTGATTTGTTTAACACTTTTTTGGTTACTACATGATTCCATATGTGTTATTTCATAGTTTTATTCTACAATGTAGAAAATAGTAAAAATAAAGAAAAACCCTTGAATGAGTAGGTGTGTCCAAACTTTTGACAGGTACTGTATATGATTTTTATTCTGATTTTTCAGGGGTGCTGCAGCACCCTCAGCACCCCTGCTTAGCGCGGCAATGCTCTCCCCCACAGGCCCCTCTAACCCCCACCAGGGTGAGCCTAGCGTCACACAGGGCCAGGGCAGCTGGGGATAGACACCAAACAGGGTTTTCATTATACAATATACACAATAATGACATACTGTTATAGAGAGCCACTACTTGGGGCACTTAGCAATTGTGTAAAACTGTGATACTTGCAAATGTGACAAGCCTTTTCAAGTCTTTGGTATCTCATCTCTCAAATGTGCATCATAAATTGTAGTTAGTTATATTGAGATATGGTCACATATAACTGAAAATGTTTGCTTATAGTGTGCATTAGACATTATTTATCCAGATATTCCATCCACACACTGAAACTTTACATTTACTTGATATAAGAGAGGGAATTTAGTGATCTTGACGTGTTCACCAAGGGTCAAGATGGGTTGTGTATGAGTTAACACGAACAGGCTTCAGTATAAACATGAATGTGTGAGGAAAACCCCCACAAACCTCCCTAGTCACACCACACAGTTAAAGAACCTACCCAGTACAACAATGAGTTGCCCACCTGGCATGAGGTGGGCAACTCATTGTTGTATTGGGTAGGTTCTTTAACTGTTCATATAAAATCACAATCTATTTTGAATTTCCTCATATTATACATCTTGTTACAGATGGGTTAGGAGGAGATTCAGGATTGGTCCTTCAAAGTGAAAATATCCACATATTAAATAAATATAACATTAACAAACTATAACGACTGTTGCACAATATTTAATAAGTCAGTTATACTGTCTCATAGTGTCAGCATAGCATATTTCTCAATCACAGCACACTATGAAAGGCCTTAATTATGTTTGATTATCTCTTTAGTCCCAGTTACACGTGTGGTGTGACTTTCCATTACTGGTTCACACAGTCCAGAGAACAGTGGCTGTGTCTTTAGCTAAGCTCATTAGAGGTGCCAAGTGACACCTTGGCTGTGAGAGAGTTGCCCCTGCTTCTTCTATGGACCTCTAAACTGACCACCAGCGTACACACTACGACCTGGTGGCCTTTCATGTTGTGGTCTTAAGCTACCATGCTGTAGGCGATATGTGTAGTGCCTTCAGAAATTATTCATACCCCTTGACTTATTCCATATTTTGTTGTGTTACAGCCTGAATTCAAAATATTTTTTATCAACACACAATACCCTATAATGACAAAGGCCCAGATTCCGACCCGAGTTAAGCACGTGTAAATGGAACTGTAATTAATAACTTGATAAAATCTATTGAGCTAGGTAAATGGGTGATCCATTTGGAGAAGGGGATTGTAAATAGACATAGCACATTTTTTGATGATTTTTCCTTGTGATCTCTGGAGACTAATGTGAAACCAGCCATAAGGAAGCAAACGGAAAATCATATCAACATGACTTGTATTGCGGCACCTTTTCCACAGTGAAATAGGATATAAATAGCTGTTCTGTTATTTATAATTCTAATTGTGTGCCCTCATAATTTGCGTGGATGAAATTTGGAGACCCAAGCTATAGCCTTCTGTAAGGCTGAACCTGCCGAGGTGATTATATGAGTTAATTATATTAGAACGTTTTGATTAAATATTAGCCACTATCGGGAGTAATACACACATCAAGGGAGCAACTTTGGTTTTAGAGGTGGGGGGGACATAATTATTACTATATTGTTTTTTGGGGGGGATAAACACTCCAAACAGCCTACCTGCCACTCGGAGGCACACCGTTGCCTCGTTTTTGTATCACATGTCTAATGTTGAGCAATAATTTGGGTCATGTAGCCTATTTGAATCATTGTGGAACTCAGACCACACGTAGCAGGTTGACCCTGGAGCCTGGTGCACAGTTCACAACGACTGGACCGTTGTCATACAGTTCCATGATTAGTGAGAATTAGGGTAGATTTATAGGAAAATTCTTTAACCCCTATTGTACACTTTTTCCCACCTTTCAATATTTCATGGACTTGAATATGACAACGTTCAGGATGAATCAAACCACTGTATTTTTTTTATTCATCAATATACAGTATTTCATGGGTAAAGGCTCTCCAAATAAAATAAAAAATGATTTATACATACTTTCCTAAACCTAAAATGTGTCTAAATAATCTATAAGATCACAGTATTTTTAAATCAGTTGGTGCTGAAACAGAGACAAATATGCATAGATGGCTTTCTTCCATTGATCCATATATTCTGAACCCATTCTCTTGATGTATTCTATTAATTCTGTCCACAAAATTCTAATTAGGTTATTGTCCTGCTAAAAGGTGAATTCATATCCCAGTGTCTGGGATACATTCCATTTATTTTTTATCCTGAAAAACTCCCCAGTCCTTAATGATTACAAGCCTACCCATAACACGATGACCAAATGACTAAAATGTAAAAAATGTAAATGATGCAGCCACCACTATGCTTGAAAATATGGAGAGTGGTACTCAGTAATGTGTTGTATTGGATTTGGCCCAAACATAACACTTTGTATACAGGACAAAAAGTTAATTGCTTTGCCACATTTTTTGCACTATTATTTTATTGCCTTGTTGCAAACAGGATGTATGTTTTGGAATATTTTTATTCTGTACAGGCTTCCTTCTTTTCACTCTGTCAGTTAGGTTAGTATTGTGGAGTAACTACAATGTTGTTGATCCATCCTCAGTTTTCTTCTATCACAGCCATTAAACTGTAACTGTTTTAGTCACCATTGGCCTCATGGTGAAATCCCTTAGCGGTTTCCTCCCTCTCTGGCAACTGAGTTAGGAAGGACGCCTGTATCTTTGTAGTGACTGGGTGTATCGATACACCATCCAAAGTGTAATTAATAACTTCACCATGCTCAAAGGGATATTCAATGTCAGTTTCTTTTTTTTTACCCATCTACCAATAGCTGCCCTTCTTTTCGAGGCATTGGAAAACCTCCCTGGTCTTTGTAGTTTAATCTGTGTTTGAAATTCACTGCTCAACTGAGGGACCTTACATATACTGTAATTGTATGTGAGGGGTACAGAGATGAGCCAGTCATAAAACAATCATGTTAAACACTATTATTGCTCACAGAGTGAGTCCATGCAACTTAATTTGAGAGTTGTTAAGCACATTTTTACTCCTGAACTTATTTAGGCTTGCCATAACAAAGGGGTTGAATACTTATTGACTCAAGACATTTCAGCTTTTCATTTTTACTTAATTTGTAAAAGTTTCTAAAAACATAATTCCACTTTTAAATTATGGGGTATTGTGTGTAGGCCAGTGACCAAAAAATCTCTATTTAATTCATTTTATATTCAGGCTGTAATGCAACAAAATGTGGAAAAGTCAAGGGGTGTGAATACTTTCTGAAGGCACTGTACCTATATTAAACAATGAATACAAATATTAAATAATATTTTGTTTAATTGTAGTCTATTTAATAATGTCTCTTTACACATACAAATGGGTATCATTTTCCAAATGTGTTTGGAGATATAAAATATGTTTG